GAGGAACATGTGATCCAGTCTTGGCCAATGAAATGCAGGAGGAAGTGGGGGGGGTGAAATTCTAGGAAGGTTTCCTTGCTTTCTATGTGACCTACATGAGGAGGGGCCCTTTCTTTCTTCTGCAGGCTATCCCATCTCAGCGGGAAGCCCGGAATAAGCCACACTTAGAGAACAGAGGAGCCAAAAGAATAGCAGAGAAACATTTGTACCATGTTGGAGCCCAACTTCTTGTAGTATGAACAATAAATCTCCTTATTGCTTCAGTTGTTTTGTATTGGGTTTTCTAGTCTTTGCCATCAAAACCACCTTAACTGATCCAAGCCACACTCATACCCAAGTATGTAATTACAATTTTTTTCCTCTTCCAAAGGCATCTTTATTTTCACAATCATAATGTATATAAACTTGGTATCTATCTTTTCCCTTTAACATTATCATAAGCATTTTTCCATTTTTTATATATAATCTTTACAATTATCACTTTAGTAGCTCTGTAGTATCCATCAAATGAAGGGAACCTCTGCGTAGTATCTTATTGCTGTATATTTAGGTTTGCCTCCACAATTATGAACCAAATCACTTTTTTTTCTTTTTAAAGATTTTATTTATTTATTTGAGAAAGAGAAAGCAGGAGCAGGGGGAAGGTCAGAGGGACGGGGAGAAGCAGACTCCCTGCTGAGCGAGGAGCAGGACAGGACGTAGGGCTCAAAGTGGGGCTCCAACCCAGGACCTTGAGATCATGACCTGAGCTGAAGGCAGTTAATTCAGTGAGCCACCCAGGCACCTATGAACCAAATCACTTTTACAAAGATTACCTTAACACACACACACACACTCAAAGACAATGGCCACATATCTATTTACACTCACAGATAATCACTCACAAAAGGCAATAGTATCTAGGGGCACCTGGGTGGCTCAGTCAGTTAAACATTGGACTCTTGCTTGACTTTGGCTCAGGTCGTGATGTTAGGGTCATGAGATCGTGCCCTGTATCTGGCTCCTAGCTCACATGCTTGAGATTCTCTCTCCTCTCTCCCTCTGCCCCTCCCACTCGTCCTCTCTCTCTCTCAAATAAATAAATAAAACGTTTTTAAAAAGGCAACAGTAACTAGATATCTTATTTTCTTCTTAAAAACAAGTCCTCAGACTAGTAAAGAGTCAGACAATGCCTCAAATCAAAGTATTTTACATCTGCCTTATCCTGAAGAGCAGATTGAGCTCAAAATTTAAAATCCAGCCAGGAAATATATCAAATCTGGTATTGCTAATGTTTCTGAGAACCTGCTACACAGAGTCAAGATGCAGCATTTTTTTTTAAAGGGACCGTTTTCAGCCAACTTTTTAATTAACATTCACTTCAAACACCAGATGGACTTCAAAGAGTACAGCCTATAAACAATTGTCCCACAAGTCTGCTACCTCTGTTTGAATCAGGAGATTGGAGAGGGTACGTACATGCATATGAACAGCTTAGCATGATGACATGAAAAAAAGTCAGATCTAGGAATCATTCCTTCTGGTGACATCTCCATCATTAGAGCATTATCATCTCTTATTGTACCTGTTTTACCCATCAGTCATCAGTCACCTATGGCTGAGTTCCGCTCAGCTGCTTGTAATGGAGAGTAGTTAGCACAGCGTCAAGTTGTCCCATCTGCCACGCCAACCAGTAACTGCAAAGTGATTTTCCCTTCCTAGTCGGGAAGCTCTAAATTACTGCAGGGTATGCGGGGGGGGGGGGGGGGGGGAATCATTTGTGTGTTAATTATTTCTGTAGAAACATAAAAAATAACCTAGCTCACATGCAATTAATAATCATATTCTGGTGAACTAGGTTATTATTATCCCACACCAGTCAAATGAAAAACAGTGGTGCCATTTCCTAGAATGACACAAAAAGTTAACCATAGATTGGCAGGCCTTCTTCGTGATCCTACACCTAGCAGAATTAAGTCACAGATGGTGGACTCAGTCTACCTAATCACCCACCACTATACATTCTAGATGGGTTCTGATGCCCTCCCATGGTTTTCCCAAGTCTGACAAAGGGTCTTCAGCATCCAAATCACCTTGGCTGCTCATTAGAAATGCACATTCCTGAGACAGATCTAAGGATTACTTAATCAGGGCTTCTGAAGGCTAGAGCCTAGGCATCTGCATTTTAAGAAATTCCTAGGTGCTCATTATGAGAACAAACTCCCTGGGCTGATTTAGGGTAATTCCAATCCTCCAAATGACTATTACTAATTCACGGTTTCATACAATTAGAGCCCAGGCATCTTTCTCACTTTCAGACATTTGAGCCACTGGAGTGTCCACACCTTGCCTTAGCTCACCTCAGCGCCCCTTCAACTAGGCTTAGACCAAGTCTCTACCTTAAAGGCACCAACTTCCTCATTTCTCTCAGTGTAACTAGATACGTGACTCTGGCCTCCAGTTTATTTCTTAAAGGAGGGATCTCACTAATATAAATTTTCTTTCCTTTTGTTCTAGTTGTTTTTTGTAAAGAAAAAAAAAACTCTGGATGTTTCTAAATCCTAAGATACAGGAAATCATGTGCATTGGACCAAACATAATTCCTTTCCCCTTTTCTTTAAGACTAGTCCTTAAGCTACAAAAATAGGATCATCAGAGAGCACATATATTTCTCCATGTTTATATAATTAAAGAACTAGAGCAAAATGAGTTGTGACATGAAAACGTACACTACCTCCTAATGTTGTTATGAGAATTAAATGAGAAAACTAATATACAAAATGCTCAGCTCAGCATCCAACACAGAGTGAATGTTCAATGAATCCTAGCTATTATCAGGCCAGGTTATTTTGGTACATGCTCTGAGCTGGAAAAGTTCTTTGAATTAAGCTGTTCAAAAACTGCTTTTCTGCAGATAAGGAAACCAAAGCTCTGGGAGTTAAGAGTCTTACCCAACACTACATAGCTACTGCCAGAGCCAAAACGGACACCAGTGTTTTCTAAAGCATAATTCCATATTCTTTTCACTACTCCATGATAGCTTTGTTTACCCTCCTCAGTGAAATGTAGGACCAAGGCCAGAAAGCCATAAGTATGTTCAGAACATGCCAGTCATTTCAAAGGAATGGATCAAGCCTAATCAGAACGTGAGTAAATGAAAGGATGGGAAGTTCTAGTTATCAAGACTGGGTCTGTGGAAGTAATTAATTATTACATAGCCAGCCAATTGTTTTCCTGTTCTGGGGGGGGGGGGGCATTTATCTCCCATCTTGGGTGGTTTCTTTTGTTTCTCTTGTGTTCAATCACTTTACCCCAGGAAATACTGCACACACAACAATTATGCAGTGTTTGGGATTCTGTCTGGTGAAAATTAGCTATGAACATAAAAACATCACAAAAAGTCTGTGCTGCTGTTAGATTTAAATTTCTCTTCAACACAAGGGGGAAAACAAAGAACAACCTACTCTCTTTGTTTGCAATATGAAGTTAAAGGAGTGTTATGTGTCAGAAAGAGAGCAATTTATCACTATAGTGTTTTAACTTTGAATTCCATTTTTCTCAGCATATTTACATATATAGATCCTAAATATACATTTAAAAATAAGAAATATATTATAATAACAGGAAAGTGAAAAAAATTCCAATGTTTGCTGAACATGATATTTTACAACAGATAATCTCTTACAGTAAATAATGAGACAGTGCTAGAGCTCTTTGCTTGATATCACCTCAATTTTTTTATGGCCACATTGGCATTCTGTCTGTGAAACACGAGTATAGCAATGACTTCATTCTCCAGGATGAAGGATAATTGATCTTAACCTTCCTTTAACTCAAAGCTAATGCAATTCAGATAAATAAAAATGTCTGTAGAAAAAAAATGGCATATGGCACTATGAAAGCCAACCTCCAAATTACCTCCAAAAGGTATAAAATACAACATATTTCAGAATCCCAATTCATGAACCCCCTGCCCCATAGCTTAGATGGAGAGCTGCCAACAAGATGTTTGAAGGAAAATACAAACTTTGAAGGACAAAAAGTTTTTCTTCCCAGCTATTAAAGAAGGGGTGTGTGGGGGAGGAAGAAGCCCCAATGTTAAACAAAACCCCAACTACTCAAAGTGAAGCACTGTTCAAAGGCAGATCATTTACTTACATTAAACCTATTAATATGTTTTCATTGTACCATAAAACCAAAACATCTTACCAACTTTATCTCTTGATGTCACCAACTAATCCCAATTGCCCACAAAGAACATATACAGCTAAAAAACGGCATCCTTGAAAACTGCATTTGACTATATCAAGTTGCTTCTTCCCTAAGATAGTTACTATCTCTTTTTCCTTTCTTTTCTCTTCACTCACTGATAATATTTACCAAATTGTGCCCCAGAAGGTGAACATCATTTTGACAAGTTGTATTCTGACCAGGAAATTTTGCCATATTTTTTCAAACATAGGTCAGTGGTGAGAGTGAAGGCAAAAAAATGTATCACATTCTTCCAAATCGGGGTCTATGGGGAGGGGGTAAGGTTATTATTGGTTGTCACGTTAGATTTAATATTCTCTTCCCCTAACGTAATTAGAAACTTTATCTCCTCCTTTACTTTGCCTCTTTCGTGTAATATGGTAACACCCTCAAGGCAAACTGACCTAAAGAACACGAATCCACCCAATGCACACACATCCACCCGAAGAGCACGCGTGTACACAAAACGTACACACACACACACACACACAGCAGTGGCCAGAGGCCATATCCACGAACCCAGGGCGCAGCACCTTGCACAAAAACTATCCTCACAACTTTCGCACACAAAGCACGCCTCGTTAACTTAAAGTCACCGTACCAATGTACTTTGCTGGTAACTCGGCGGCAGCCAACCATCACACCCGGCAATGGAAACCCGAAAGCCCACACTCGCAGCCCCTCTCTTCAAGGCACATCTAACGCCCTGGGCGAGCCAGGCTGGCTCCCCGCCAGTCTCGAGCTGCCGCCGCTGCCCCGGGACCACTTACCGTGTCTGCAGTCGCAGTAGCCCCAGTCCACCTTGCCGTGGGCGTGCCCATAGAAGCACCAGGGTCGGCCCGCGCCGTCGGGGCTCCGACAGAAGTTGTGGCGCTGCCCTCGCAGCTGAGCCCAACTCGCCGGGGGCGACCGCTCGAGAAAAGGTGGCACCTCTGCCCAGCGCAGACAAGGGGCGCCGAAGTCCGTCACGTTGACCCAGGGCTCGCTGGCGGGGCAGTCCCGATGGTGCGGCCCCGGCGTGCGCCCGGCATGGAGGGCGTGCAGGCGCTGGGCATGCAGCGCGGGCGCGGGGCGCGGGACGCGCGGGAGAGGGGGCGGCGCAGGCGTCCTCTGTTGCCGCTGCTGGGTGGGAAGGTAATAAGGGTGCCGGGGACCTCGAGGGAGCGAATGGCGATAGCGGTGGTGGAGGGGATTACTGACGACTAGATCAAAGCCGATCACTTCGGGGAGCGCCGCTAAAACCAAAGCCACCACGAAGCGGGCGAGCGTCATGGTGCCAGAGCCGCAGGGTTTGGTCCAAGCTCTCCGGCTCCTTCGGTTCTGAAGAGGAGGAGAGGAGGGGGCGGGGGCGGGGCTGCAGCGTCCGTCGAATCCCCCACTCGAGTCCCCTCCCGCGCCCCCGCGCGCGGACCGCCCTCGCCTCCCCATCTCGCCTCCCGCTTCGGGTCGCGTGCTGCGCCTCCGCTCCTGCCCCTCGGAAGCGGTCGCCGGCTGTGAAATCTTGAGCTCCTCCGAGCCCCGGATGGTGGAGAGGACTCGCAAAGAGAAGGCGCGGACTCGGCGGGGAGTGGTGGGGACTGAGCCCCAGGTAGCCCGCGGTGGCACGAGCCCGGGAACTCTGCCCCCTGGCTGCGGGCGCGGGGCGCGCAGTCTCGTCCCGGAGCCGGACCTCGGCTCGGCATCCTAGCCGGCTCCCGGCTGTCACCGGCAAGGCCAGACCAGCTGCTGGCACCGCCGCAGCTTCCCTGTGCCCCAGCCAAGCGCGAGGGTGCCAGTGCGGGGTAAGGTCTTGGCTGCTCCTTGCCAGAAGGCAACACCATCAGAGGCCCGAGTCTGGCGGCTCCCAAGCTTGGCACCAGTTCCTGCAGCCATCTCTCCTCCACCCCTGTGCCGTGTCTCGTTTTTTTTGGTTTTGAAAACTTCAGAAGCATGGATGGATTAGTTACAACTCTCCCCTGACAAGTCCCAGGATAAGAGTTAACAAAGCACATGAGGAATGTTGAAGCCATTTTACTGAAGTGTGAGCTCCTCAAGGACAAGACCACGTTTCATTTAGTTTTATATCCCAGAGCTTAACACTGTGCCCAACACTTATTAGGCTCCAATAAACATTTGCTGAAATTAAATTCCTGAACTGACCCAGGGAAAGGAGCTTGAGCCTTTCTACTTCCTGCCTCCCACTTTCCACCGGGGGCACTGGACAACACCAGTTGTCTGGTTATTACTGGGATTCAGTGAGGCCCTCTTAATACCAAATTTCCTTTCTAACCAGAGAAGACTTCATCCGTCCGGGTCTCCATCCTATCCAAAAAGTCCATCCCTCTAACACCTGCCTCGTTTTTGCAGGGCAACGGACTTGAGTTAAGCCTACACATTTGCTTCTCCAAAGTGGACTCACTGCTGGTAATTTTGAAGCCGCCCTGTTGGCCTGACCTTGCCTTAGTAGAACCTTTCAACAGCTCCACTCCCCATCCCCCAAAAAGTTGGCTTCAAATTTTTTAAAAATCACTGGAGTTGGATATTATAGGATTTCTCCTTTCTGTGGTTCCTGACCATGCCACTGAAGTTAAACAAGGAAAAGGAAGGCCAAAGAGATGGTAATATTTACTTTATGGTAATCATTTTTAAGTGTGAGAGAGGACTACTGTCCCATAATTTAATGTATCCCGAAGAAAACCTGAGCATAACTTAAAGATTTATTGTTAAAACCTAGGTTTCAGTTAGAAACTGATTTAAGTCTCTAACCTAGCTCAAATAATCCATTTTAGTTTAACTTCCGTGAATCATTTTATTGATTTTCCCCACTCCCCTATTTAATTAAATATTTGATTTTATTTCAGAATGAATTGGGCAAAAAAATATTAGGAATCCCAAGGTATGTTTGTCAAATCTTTATTCAAGATGTTTTTATTCAAGATGCTTGTATGCACCATTTTGAGTTTGTTTTTTTTCTGGTTCCAAAAGCTTAATTAAAAGGGTACTTGTGGAAGAGAGGTTGATTTACTCATTTTAGAGTTCACCAATCACAGATTCTTGATATAATAGGTGACAGTTCTAATAGGAGTTGTCCACCTGTTCCTCCACCTTCTGCCTTGGGATTCTGGCTGCCTTGCTCAGATCCTGCTGCCCTCCCTCCCCTGCATGGCTCACTCCCCCAACTGTCCTCACACCTGGTAGGGGTTTGCCAGCAAACCTAGTTCGCACGCATCTATGTATCTTGAAGAGAGGGAAATCATGAGAGAGAAGAGCGGAAATCCAAGGTCTACTTACATTTAACAGATTATAAAGCTGACACAGACAAAGTGGAGTTACCCACAGAAAATTCCACATCTGGATTTAATCATGTAGGTTTTAAAACATCTTTCCTAGGAAATAAAATGGCATTTATGTAATTGGACTATGAATTTAGGGGACTCAATTTGGGTTTTGTCCTCTCTTTTACAAGCAAAGTATGACCTAAACAGACCTGTCCTTTACATATCACTTCCCTCCTCTGCTAATATTTTCCTTCCCTCTCTTCTTTCATGCCTCCTTGCTGCTACCAACATGCAGACGTTTAGAATTGAAAGAAACAAGTATTTGACACCTTGCAGGCATTTCCCCACCACAACACTTAGAAGGCCCCAGGAGGTCCCCATAATACCCCTTGTCAGCTCTGTGACCTCTGGATTCCATCGTGCAACCTCACTGATTTCAGTCCCAAGAGCTTAACTACCCACAGCCTCATGGCCTAAAACCTAGAAAAGCGAAGAGGGGCGTCTGCAGGTTCATATCACAGCAGCGGGGGGCAGTCTTGGGGGTAGGGGTGGGGTACATACATATCTGCATATCTGCATTTCCCAAGACAACTATGTTTTATGTATATATAAACATTTGGTTTTATGGTTGTTTAGGAGATGATTTTACTTCACATCCATGATGGGTTGAAGAGGTCTTGTGTTGTCCTGTTTGGAAATACAACCAATATGCATATTATTTTTACAGAGTTCCAAAAACCAGTATACAAAATAACTTTTGGAAAAGTTCCATTTGCAATTTGGGTACTGCCTGTATTTGGAGAAGCAAAGAGTTTTTGAACATATGGCATAAAATCAGCATTGACTTGTACCATTCCAAGTGCAAACAATTTGCTAAAAGAACACTGAGCACTGCTCCTTCACATAAAAGGGAAAAAAAAATCAAATCCTATGAAAGCCTTTGTGGGCACCATGGGAGATTTGAAATGATAAGGCATGATCAGGCTGCTAGAGCAGGGGAATACAACAAAAGAATAATATTTAGCTAAAAGTTTAAGAAAATAAAGGAAAAGGTCCAGAATACATGTGATGAATTGCTAAATGAATGATACAGTGATTCAAAGGCAGATATGTGCTGTCAGCAGAAAGTCTCTGGCATTGGAGGTAAAGTTTACACCTCTGCCCATGTTGGTCACACTCTTCTCTGCCAGCCGTCAGCCATGAAGATGTCTGAGGATCCATGACTACAACAGCAGCCCTACATTTAACAACATGTAACCATACCATACATATGGACTGTTGACCTTATATGTAGTGTTCAAGAGCAAAAGAAAAGTTCTGCTTAAGTCATTTGAGCCCCATTTTTTATTGTTTAAAATTGAATTTTATAAAACAGAACAAAATACTTTTTTAAAATTTTTATATTTTTTAAAGATTTTATTTTTAAGTAATCTTTACCCCCAACATGGGGCTCAAACTCACGACCCAGAGATTAAGAGTCACATGCTCTACCAACTGATCCAGCCAGGCACCCCCAAATTTTTATTTTTAAAAATTTACCTAATCTTGGTGTAATCCCTATATGGAAACTAATTGTACAGATTCACTTTCAGTATTACTCAAATAATACATGCTAACAGATGAGGAACATATATAACATATTTTATATATATCTAAAAAAAATAGTTCCTTCAGCCTTGGAATCAAAGCAATGCTCAGTCTGGCTCTAGTTCTTCCTATGGGATCTTAGATGAGTTCCCTTGCTTCCCTCAGCCAGTGGCTTGACAAAAGAGATAATGGTGTGCATGAGAAATCTCTGCGTGGAGTAATTGAAATAATGCATGTAAACTGTTGAATATAAGACTCAATAAATGCCAACTATGGAATGGTAGAATATTCTCAGTAAGTGCCTTTGAATTCTTAACCACTCAAACTAAGTCACCCCATGAAAACCTGCCTGAAAAAGCAGGAAATGTGTTCAGAGCTCCCTTCCCACCCAGCTGGTGCCTCTTACTGCACGCACCTCAGTAATTCTCCTCTTGGAACAACAACAATCACAAAGCTGCTCTAGCTCTACTCACTTGAGCGTTTGTCCTCTCTGATGTGTTCTCTTCCTCTACCCCTCAACAAGTCTGCTCCCCAAAAACCAATGAAACCCTAAGTATTTTGAGTTAAAACACTTTTCCTGAGGAGTTTGCTGAAGTATAATGCGTGGTTTTCAAATCCCTCAGTTGCAAGTGGGCTGTGTCCACAGATGAAAAAAATAAATAGACTGGAAGAAAAGCAACACTAGAACTGCTTGCCAGTGCTCTGAGGATCACAGAACCTAGTGCTGAAAAGGAGTTAGAGCTCCAATTATCTGTCAAGTGCAGGAGTCTGTCCCAAAACTTCCTGACAAGTGGACTTCCAGCTTTTTCTTGGAAACTATTGATGGAGCAAATTTCTACTTGGGAGCCAGCATTCTCCATCTCTAGAAAGTCCAAATTGTTGGAAAAATCTCTTCTTCTACTGAGCCAGAAACCTACTTTACCTAACTGTGATTCTGGTTCTGTCCTCCTATTGATTTAATCAATTTAGAATCCAGCAGCATGGGTTCAAATCCCAGTTAAGTGTTTTGTTTCTTGGCCTCCAGGGGGCACTAAAGACTCTCCCCCACTTCTACCTGTGGACCTTCAAGACCAATTTGCTGAGCGGGCAGATCCAAGAAGAGTAATTAGTCTACATTACTACAGTCCTATTATCTTGTGAGATACAAATAAGTCTGTAACCGCATAAATAATCAATGCCCTATTTCCCTTCCTTACGCTTAGTGTTTTTCCTCACTTCATCATTGGAATCTTACAAACCATAAAGATGAGACTTGATCATAGGTTGAAGTTGAAAGGGAGAGACAGAAGCTGGTTAGCTGTTTGGCCTAGCTACAAGGAAACTACTTTGGGGTTTGGAGTCAAACCCCAGCTAATTGTAAAAAGCCTGCATTTGTCTGGGCTTGTCCTCAATGCACAAATGTCCTCTGGGGAACTCACTGCCTGAGAATGGGGGAGGGGGCGATGTATGGCATGTGGGTAGGGG